AGTCAGTGATGAAACCAGAATTGAACCCAAGCTATCTGATTCCAGTCCTCTTCTCTTTTTTTTTATTTTTTAAATTTTGTATATATATATTTTTTTATTATATATATATATTTTTATTATACCTTAAGTTCCAGGGTACATGTGCACAATATGCAGGTTTGTTACACATGTACACATGTGCCATGTTGGTGTGCTGCACCCATTAACTTGTCATTTACATTAGGTATTCCTCCTAATTCTATCCCTCCTCCCTTCTCCCACCCCACAACAGGCCCCGGTGTGTGATGTTCCCTACCCTGTGTCCAAGTGTTCTCATTGTTCAATTCCCACCTATGAGTGAGAACATGCAGTGTTTGGTTTTCTGTCCTTGTGATACAGTTTGCTCAGAATGATAGTTTCCAGCTTCATCCATGTCCCTACAAAGGACATGAACTCATCCTTTTTTATGGCTGCATAGTATTCCATGGTGTATATGTGCCACATTTTCTTAATCCAGTCCATCATTGATGGCCAGTCCTCTTCTGTTAATCACTGTTACCCATTAGGCTCTTAATCATTCTCCTTACATTTCACATACCTTAACAGAGAGGAAGAAATGTTGGTTAATAACTTCCTTCTTTGGGGGATGGTATTTCTTAAACTGGATTTCTACTATCCCAGCTACTCATTCTTGGTGAACAAGGATAGAATAGTCTACTGCTCAGGTCAGGACAACAGAATCTCTCTCTGGGTCTCCTGCCCTTTATCCTTCTCTGATTCCTAAGGTGGGGGGTGAAAGCTTTATGTTAGCCTTTGAAGAGTATGGCCTTCATGAACGTCGGTTTCCCTGAGCAACTCTATTTGAATGCATTTAATAACTGTAGCTTCTAGTTTCCAGTAAGGAAAATAAATAAGAGGAAACACAACTACAGGCAGCACTGGGATGATGTCAACCATGGAAATATCAGCATGTTCCTGGAAAGTCATGGAGAGCCAAGTGCTCAAGAGCCATTAAATCCTTTCGTAGGAATAGGTTCTGAGGACCAAATGCTATTAGAGTCTTCAGGGAAGCAAGATAACACAGCTGGTAAAGAGCATGAGTGCACTTGGGTCTAGGTTTGTATATCCTGGCGTTGTCACTTACTAGCTCTGTGACCTGAGCAAATAACCTCGTGTCTCAGTTTTCTCATCTTCAAAGTGGGAAATAAAAATATTATCTAATTCATAGGTAGTATTTATGTGGAACACTTGCACACGTAAGCATTCAATATTATCAAAGTGTTAGCTGTTAAATTGTGTATGAAAGTCTTGAATGAAGATTTTCACTCACTGCCTTTTCTCTCACCACTGCCCTTACTCCTTTCTTTTTTACTAAATATAATTTTGCCACTTCAGCCAGGCGTGGTGGCTCACACCTGTAATCCCAGCACTTTGGGAGGCTGAGGCAGGCAGATCACTTGAGGTCAGGAGTTTGAGACCTCCTGAAACCTCGTTTCTATTAAAAATACAAAAAATTAGCCGGGCATGGTGGCGCATGCTTGTAATCCCAGCTACTAGTGGGGCTGAGGCAGGAGAATCACTTGAACTCTAGAGGTGGAGGTTGCAGTGAGCTGAGATCACACCATTGCACTCCAGCCTGGGCGACAAGAGCGAAACTCTGTCTCAAAAAAAAAAAAAAAAAAAAAAAGAAAAAACAATTTGTCACTTCATTAACTTTTGAGTACCTACATGGAGACCAAAAGTAAGTTGGCAAGAATAAAAAGAAGAATGCACAGAGCTTATACAAACTTTCCTTGAAAAATAATTACAAAAATAAAAGGTACTTTCAGAAAAAAGAAATTTTACATTACCAAAATTAAGATTATTTTACTCTATTCTAACCCAACAGATACAGGTTGTTTCATAACCCCATTATGGGGAAATTTAGGTAGGGCCATTTTCATCACTTAATTCGTCTCATCCCCGACTCCTGCTGCCTCCTAGAAGCATTCATTATCTCAATATAATTTCACCGATTATTGAGTCGTTATTATTCTGCCGCTTCTACTGTGACCTCTTCATTTCTAAAATCACTCCTTTGCTTCAAAGATGACACACTGGTAAGGATACTAATTTTCCCCTACTCTTGTATTAACCAGGTCCCATAGCCCCAGCATCTGAAATTTGAAAAACCAGAATGTATAATATCATTAGTAAAAAATAGCATATGTAGCAGTCATTGCAACAGCCATTTTCCTGATAACACTTAACACTTCCTTATCACTGTTTTCTATCACCATGACTTTCAAAGCATTTTCTGTCTGCTTGATACAGATTATATATATATGGATTTTTTATAGTAATGCTTATGGAATATAGTATCATATACTCTTCTTATTTGGTATTATTTGTTGATGAATTGAGACCCAGGGAGCATTAAATAATTGCCGAAGCTGTTGCAGTGAATTCATTGTGAAACCTTGAATCCAGAATCTAGATTTTGACTCTTCAGAAGTCCTGTTTCTGCACTCTTGAGCTTATAGTAGAACTATATGCCCTAGCCCTTTCAAGCAACGTAAGAGTATCACTGGGATTTAACATAGTTACCATAGTATCTCCTTTTCCTTAGTCTGCTTAATTCTGTCCCATCCTAAAGAACTTTATATTGGTCTGTCCTGTCACTCTGTCTTCCCTGCAAAATTTCCCTTCATACCTTCATTCTTTCCCTTACCCTACGGGCATCTGATTCCATTTTCAACCACTCTACTAACTATTGTTATCATCAAAGTCAGCGATGAACCCCTTGCCAGATCTCCATGAGGCCCCTTTTCAGTCCTTAATTGATTCCGTATTATCTGAGATGATGGAGCATGGACACCTTCTCAAAATTCTTTTCTCCCGCTATTTAGCCTTGCTCACCTGTTCTGATCTTTGCCCTGTGACTGTTCTTCTTAAAACTCCTTTTTGTTAGTAAAGATTTATTGAGCATTACTGTGGAACAGACATCATGTTAAACATTTTACCTGAGTAATTTAAGGGTCAGCCTTTCTATCGTGCAAGAATCATCTTTCCCTAATTATTTTTTGGGAGCTGGGTGTGTGTCACATTCCACTCCCACGTTTATCTGCGCTGCTGCTTGCTTCATCTCTGTCACCAGCCCCTAAAGTTTGTGAAATCTGAATACAGATAGTTACCACTTTGATGGGTTCCAAAATGTGTAAATCAGAGATTTGGAGATTTTTTTGACTTTGGGAGGAAAAATGTGGGACATGGTAGCCCAGTCTTTACAGGGGCACACAAAAGATAGTTTCCCTCATAACAAAATTGATTCTTGATACCATAGATCCCAAACAGTTTTTCTGAAAACCCAGTTCTAGGATCTGAGCAATGTGTGGATAAGTGTTAAAGGTTTTTACATGTGAAGGTGTGGTCTTTCACTGGGGCTCTTGCATTTTGCTAGAGGCCCCCCAAAAAAAAAAAACAAAAAAGCAAAAAGAAAAGTTTTCCAAGGAAAAATTCCCCTCTTTAAAGAGAACTACATAATGAAAACTTATGTGGGAGGTTTGGGTGTCCCCAGTCTTGGGTCACTACCCAGAAAAAGAGAGCATGCTAGAAAGCCTTCAGGCATTCAACAGGAGAAAATCCCATGTTTAGGTTTTAAAGCCCCTCTATTTTCCCTCTAATCCTTTCCTGTTATTCCTTGCTACCTCAATTGCCTGTCCTCTTAAACAATGATTCCAATATTCCTCAGACCTGGGATATCTGTCTGTTTTTTTCTGGAACAGGAGAAGCAATTACTCCATCACAGAAATGGTGTGTGATGTGAGAGAACCAGATTTCAACATCAGTCTTCTCTCAATTCTCCACCCCCTCATTCCTTACAAAGGGATTGTTCTTGCTCCTCAATATCTCTGGAGTCAGCCTTTGGGTGTAGGAGAGCAGCTTGGGAGAGATTGCTAACATGAGCAGAAATGGTTTCTCTCTGTTCAGGATTCTAATGCAATCCAGGTCTCCCTACATTGCTATACTGTATACATTCTCCATCCTTACCATTATGCAAAGCCACATAAAGACCTAACCGCCTTGATGCGCTGTGCCCCCAAATACAAACATGAGGGCTTTGAGCTTCATGTGTTGTGACTTAGCACAGACATCAGACCCAGCTTAAGTTTTTTCTTTATTTAACATTTCCTTCACTCTGAGTGAATGTTCTGTCTCCTTACCTACTTGGAACCATCTAGATTCTCCTTTCACTTAAATGATGAAAAAAAAAAATGCTCAGGATTTTGCCTTAAAGAAAACTTGTCATTTGGCCTCTTTGTCATCTACTGATTAATGTTGGAAGCGATTTGATCTTAGTGACAGTCTCTTGGCTTTGCTACAACACCTAATACAAGAATTCTCCACTCATTAAATCATAACCCCCATTGGCTGAACTTGTTCAAGGAATAAAACAAATGCTTCATCTGGACATAGAATTGTGATTTCTTAGTCAGTATAAGATTTAATGGGCATGTTTTAGACGCGGTTATAGTTACTGTTTATCAGCCTTAAAAATTAATTTCAGTATTGTATTTCTTTTAGTCATCTGTCCCCTTTAAAAATGGCAACAAATAATACTGGAAGACAGCTTTTCTTGGGTTTGTTTATTGGATTATCTTTAATAGCCCTGTTTTCGTATTTATCACCAGGGCTCATGCACAGTCAAATCATCATTAATTAAAATGTGCAAGGCACCCACAAGCAGCATAAATAAATCAGAATGGAGAGGCCATCCTCACCCGAGTGTCTTGCGATGTGGGTTAGCCTAGAGGAAAGGCACGTTCTCTGAAAATCAGAAACGAGCTTTTTCTACCCGATTAAAAGCAAGGAACTATGAAGCCACTGATTTTCCAAGAGAAAGGTCTTTTCAGGCCCCTCCGAGGGTTAACTTTATGACAAAATGAAAGATTATCCTCTGCCATCTGTCGCTGAAACCCTGTCTCCATTTTATATTCAAGCCTTGGAGCAAAGAGAAACTAAAGGAAATGGAGAGACTTAAATGTAACTCGGAGCTGTTTCATAAGTTTATTTCTCATTTGTCTTCATCAGAAGGATTTCAAGATTGGGCCATTTAATAGACTCTCACTGACAGCTTGACGGGAAGATGAGCGGTCCACTGTTGGAGATATTTGGAAGAGGACTGCATTCTGCTGTGGGGATTGGTGGGAAAATAAGGGAGGGACAGAAGTCTAGGTCCTAACATGGAAACCAATTAAGCTAAAAGCCCAAGAAGCCGGTGCTTCTTGGAAAAATGGCTTCTGTGGCCCTGTGGAGGCAGCATCCTGCATCCATCCGGGGAAAGACGAGTGGTGCTCTTCAGAGAAAGGTGAAGTGGCCAAGGTGGTGTTCTTGAGAAAGGCAATTGTCAGAGTCTTCTCACATTGTAGGGGTTCAGTTCTGAGGAGAAAGAACATTTGTCAATGAAACAAACTGTGAGGAAGTCACAGCCTTTATGAGGAAATAGCCTTCTCAAAGCAAGATTCCTCTGGCTCCATTATACTCATGTACCAGAAATTCATTTGATGGGTGTGTTGCGCCTCAGTGAATCTCAATGTTCTCCCACAGAATTTCACCTGAGAAATGGGGTCTGCGGGCCTGGTGTGGTGGCTCACGCCTGTAATCCCAGCACTTTGGGAGGCCGAGGCGGGCGAATCACCTGAGGTCAGGAGTTTGAGACCAGCCTGACCAACATGGTAAATCCCCGTCACTACTAAAAATACGAAAATTAGCCAGGCATGGTGGCCCACGCCTGTAATCCCATCTACTTGGGAGGCTGAGGCAGGAGAATCACTTGAACCCGGGAGGCGGAGGTTGCAGTGAGCCAATATCGTGCCATTGCACTCCAACCTGGACAACAGAGTAAGACTCTGTCTCAAAAAAAAAAAAAAAAAAAAAAAAAGAAGAAAAGAAAGAAAGAAAGAAATGGGGTCTGCAAAGAGTTTTGTTTTTTCAATTCATCGATGGCTTATGGGGTAGATGGGCCGTTAGTTCCACTCTAGTGCAAGAACCACTCCCTCTCTCCTCTCCGCCTCAGAGTTTACTTATTTATTCCAGAAACAAAGGCACAGACGTCATTGTCAGGTTGTGCACTTGAATTTCAACTCAGAACTGACCACAGATAAGCTTGAAGCAAACTAAAAGACTCTTGGTAGATAGCATGGGAAAGTCTAAACAAAACATTGGTGGCCAGGAAGAATGCCTCATGGTGACATGTAAGGAGGCCAACCAATACCCAGACAAGACAAGGAGAGCCTCAGGAAAGAGAGGTTAGTGACCACACCCTCTGAGTTCTCATTCTGTCCTATTGAAGAGGGAATGAGGCTCTGAATAAAATTCTTTCTCCTCGTCCAGAATCCTAAAATGTTAAAGCTGGAAAGAACCTGAATATACTGTCTAAAGCAAAGCCTTCATTTTTTAGGTGAAGAAAACTGAGGGTCTCAGAGGTCAAGGCACTAGTCTGTGGTCACACAGTTGCTTCACAACAGACCCAGACGTGGCCTGTGATTTTCCTGAGGCTCAGTCCACTTCTCTCTGGTGTGAGGAGACATTTATTTTATTTTAATTCTTTTAAAAAATATATTTTATTTTTGATGGATAATTAATAATTGCATATACTTATGAGGTACAGTGTGATATTTTCATATATATGTATTCATTATGGAATAATTAAATCAAGCTAATTAAGGAAGAACAATTTATTTTCTTTCTTTCTTTCTTTTTTTCTTTTGACGGAGTTTTGCTCTGTCACCCAGGCTGGAGTGCAATGGCGCAATCTGGCCTCACTGCAACCTCCACCTCCGAAGTTCAAGAGATTCTCCTGCCTCAGCCTCCCGAGTAGCTGGGACTACAGGTGCCTGCCACCACGCCTGGCTAATTTTTGTATTTTTAGGGGTTTCTCCATGTTGGCCAGAATGGTCTTGAACTCCTGACCTCAGGTAATCCAATTGCCTCAGCCTCCCAAATTGCTGCGATTACAGGCGTGAGCCACCATCCCCGGGGAACGATTTATTTCCTAATCATCAGAAGAAAAATAAAGATAATATATTCTCTGTTCATGTAAGTATGTCCAAGTAATTTATTAAGGAGTAAGAAAAGAGGACTAAAACTCTTAACTAAAAATGAAGTAAAAAGTTTAGATTTCTGGCTTTGCACATGTAGTTCCAGCTACTAGGAAGGCTGAGGGGGGAGGAGAATCACTTGAGCAGAGGAGTTCAAGGCGATAGCGTGCTGTGATCGCACCACTGCACTCCATCCTGGGTAACAGAGCAAGATGCTGTTTCTAAAAATAAACAAATAAATAGAAATTTAGATTTAGATTCTAAGAAAAATTATCTTGATTATTGACTACAATGTTACTTTCTTTTTTTTTTTTTTTTTGAGATGGAGTCTGGCTCTGTCACCCAGGCTGGAGTGCAGTGGCGCAATCTCAGCTCACTGCAAGCACCACCACCCAAGTTCACGCCATTCTCCTAGCTACCAGGGACTACAGGCACCCACCACCATGCTCGGCTAATTTTTTGTATTTCTTTTAGTAGAGATGAGTTTTCACCGTGTTAGCCAGGATGGGCTTGATCTCTTGACTGAGCGATCTGCCCACCTTGGCCTCCCAAAATGCTCGGAATATAGGCATGAGCCACTGCACCCGGCCTGTTATTTTCTTTTTAATAAAATTCTCTATTTTATCAAAAAATTTATTGGCTAGGAGAAGAGATGGACGTGCCAGGACCTTCAAAAGTGTCCTGGCACGTCCATCTCTTCTCCTACCCAATAAATCACATTATTCTCATCTCCACTTCCAGTTACCTTCTGAAATTTCCCAATTCTGTAATATTCCCTTTAAATGTTAGGAGAATGCACATTCATTTTTAAAATTCCTGTATCCACTTAGCAAATTATAGCTAAAACTAAAATTTAAATACTTCATCAATCTTATTTCTAAATAGAAAACAGGTAAGTACAGGCAAGTCTGAATTATAGAACTTTTTGAAAGAAATTTAATTGACTTAATTGCAACAAATGAGTTTACAAGATTTAAAAAAAGACGTTGGGAGTGGGTGGCTGGATAAGAATGAGCTGTAATCACCATAAGAATTATTTTCATTTTTCCATGCTGGCACTGTGCCTCACGTCTGTAATTCCAGCATTTTGGGAGGCCAAGGTGGGCAGATCACTTGGGGTCAGGAGTTCAAGACCAGCCTGGGCAACATGGTGAAACCTCATCTCTACTAAAAACACAAAAATTAGCCAGGTGTGATGGCGTGTGCCTGTAGTCCCAGCTACTCGGGAGGCTGAGGCAGGAGAATCGCTTGAACCTGGGAGGCAGAGGTTGCAGTGAGCCAGATGGTGCCACTGTATTCTAGTTTGGATGACAGAACAAGAGCTCATCTCAAAAAAAAAAAAATTATTTTCATTATTCTGAAGGAAGAAATTGGTAAAGTTTGTTTGCAGCTGGAGCACAGTCTTAAAATCTTTGCCACATTACTGTCATGCTTAGCAAATACAAACTATTCCCACCTCCACCAACTCCCTTAGGACTCAGACTCTGTAAGATTTACAGAGTTCTGAAGAAATGTCTTCCTTTCAAGACTATGAATTTATGGAAGCATCTGAAAATTTAAAAAGCATATAAAATAGTCATTTGCTAAATGCATCAGACCCTCGGGGACTCTAATGAACAGTTGTGTTGAACTGGATACATAAAGCTTTCCATTTGTTATCATCTCCAAAATCCTTGTCAAAGTTGTCATCATCCTGAAGGCCTGACTCATTTTTAGCGTATCTGAGCAGGCTGTTCCTATCTGTCAGTTATAATTGTTCTTCTCATTTCTCTAGTCATTTTGGTGAAGGTTCCCCCGGCTGCACAGCCCACCACACCTCCTCCCCCAGTTGTCCCAACTGACATACCTGGATTTGGTATTTGCTAAGATGTCCAGTTGTGAGCTCCCCCACTTCATTCTGGATGTGGCTCATCACAAACTGGCCACTGCTCTAGATTCGCCCAGATTGGTGCCACTGACACCGTTTTCCTTTTTTAAGAATGTTATATGAACTGATGAGGTTTCTTCTAGATGATTTCCCCCATATATTGTTACATTTTGTGAGAATAAAATAACCAATAATTCCTGATGGACAATGCAGGATGTTTTGCTAACTTTATTAGCTAGTTTCCCAAATTTGGAGTACACAGTTACTATTTTTTCCTCTAAAGTAGACTGGGCACGGCGGCTCACGCCTGTAATCCCAGCACTTTGGGAGGCTGAGGTAGGCAGATCACCTGAGGTCAGGAGTTTGAGACCAGCTTGGCCAACATGGGAAAACCTGTCTCTACTAAAAATGCAAAAATTAGCTGGGTGTGGTGGCAGGCACCTGTAATCCCAGCTAGTCGGGAGGGTGAAGCAGGAGAATCACTTGAACCCAGGAGGTGGAGTTTGCAGTGAGCCAAGATCATGCCATTGCACTCCAGCCTGGGCAACAAGAGCGAAACTCTGTCTCAAAAATAAATAAATAAATAAATAAAGTAAATATGTTCTGCCTGTTTAACACCAGAAGGTTTGGCACATGGGAGCCACTCACTGCTTTTTTTGTTGTTGTCACTGATTTTTCTCTTTCTTTTAAGTATTTAAGAAAATAAGATGCTGGGCCAGGCGTGGTGGCTCACACCTGTAATCCCAGCACTCTGGGAGGCTGAGGCGGGTGGATTGCTTGAGGTCAGGAATTCGAGACCAGCCTGGCCAACATGGTGAAACCCCGTCTCTACTAAAAATACAAAAAATTAGCCAGGCGTGGTGCGTGCACCTGTAGTCCCAGCTACTCAGGTGGCTGAGGCAGGAGAATTGCTGGAACCCGTGAAGCAGAGGTTGCAGTGAGCCGAGATCGCCTCACTGCACTCCAGCCTGGAAGACAGGGTGAGACTCCATCTCAAAACAAAAAAAAAAAAAGAAGAAAATAAGATATCAAATAATGAGTTTTCATTACAAATAGTATAACGGACCAAAAAAAAAAAATTACTGATTTTTGAAGATCACTTTCCAATGTAAAGAAAAACAAACAGGGCTGGGTGCAGTGGCTAACGTCTATAATCCCAGCACTTTGGCAGGCTGAGGTGGGAGTATCACTTGAGGCCAGCAGTTGGAGACCAGCCTGGGCCACATAGCAAGACCCCCATCTTCACACACAAAAAATTAAAATTTAACTGGGCGTGATAGTGTGCTCTTGTAGTCCCAGCTACTCAGGAGGCTCAGGTGGGAGATTGCTTGAGCCCAGGAGTTCAAGGTTATAGTGACTGTGATTGTGCTACTGCACTCCAGCCTGGGCAACAAAACAAGACTCTGTCTCAAAAAAAAAAAAAAAAGAAAAGAAAAAAGAGAAACAAGCATGGTGATGAGTCAGGTACTGTGAAATGTGCCAGGGAATACAAAGATGAGCACATCACTATCAGTCTTTGATTCTAAGGGCTTTAAATACACATTTAGTTTTCTTACAGTTAGATGATGTTGTAAACTTGCACAATCCGTAACGTGCATTAGGAAACTGGGCCATGAAGCAGTAACAAAGTAGAACCTCATCCATTTATTCACATCACACTGGGTAGGCTCTCCTTCCTCTGATGACTATGCCACTGGAAAATGTGGTCCCAGAGTCATTCTAGCAGAGAAATGAGAGAAAGGAGGTTCAAGCGGAACGTTTTCAAGGGTCAAACTTAGAAGTGACTTACGTTCATTCTACCCACCATTCCTGGCTCAGACTCTGACACACAGCTAACCGCAAGGAAACCTGAGGATTGTTATCTTACTATGTGCGGAAAAAGAGGAACTGGTGTGATACTAAAGAAAAAGTGATTTGCGACACATGTGAAAATGGTAAGGTGGACTTTATTCAGGACTGTGGTGATAGGTATAGCAACTACCGAAATAGAGTTGCAGAGCAGTGGAAGGGGATTGGACTCAACTCTGTGTACAACAAGGAAAAGTGGGAATGTATAGCCAAGAAGCACAGTGGAGGAGTCGTTGGATGGAAAAAGAAATAAAAGGAATGGTTACTAAGAGGAAACATCAGAGGTAAGAGGGGATTCTAGCTAACCAGGAAGAAGGGTTCTTGCTAGGGTGATCAGAAATCACCTGGGGGATGGTGAGAGATGAATGTGGTCAGAAATTAAGAGTGATCAGATACCGTGGATGAGGGATCATGGCTAAACTAGCTTAGCAGGATTCTTGCTAAAGTCAGGCTTTTGAGGACAGGCCCAAGGGTGGGCCCTGTTGAAAAAGAGCTCAAAGGGGCTGGCTAGAGTTTTGTCAAGAAGAGAATCTTTGTGAGTAGCAAGCACTTCGCATTGTTTCTTTTGCATAACCGGAGATCTTTTCCTCTGAATGTTTCATAGAATGTATCAACATGTAAAATCAATGTCAATATTTCCCACAATCATGGTAAATTAATGTTTTTGTGATCATAATGGTACTTCTCAAAGAGAGCTATTTATTCCTTTATTGAATCTGTCATATCAAAGAAAAGGTGCACATTGATAAAGTTTTTATCTGTGGCTAAAATCTTTGCAACTAATATTCATGTAAAAGCATACCTGAATTATAGTTAACAAAATTGTTCTTTCTGCATGGTATTTTAATAGTTAAAGCGAGATTCTTTGGCCACACTTTCTAGTTCTTGTTGTGTCCTTAATGTAGTTGGTTAAATCGAGTCTCCCAAAAAGATATGCTGGAGTCCTAATCGCCAGTACCTGTGAATGTGACTTTATTTGGAAATAGGATCGCAGAGATAATCAAATTAAGGTGAGGTTACACTAGAACAAGATGTGCTCTAAATCTAATGACTATTTTCTTACTGAGAGAAAGAAGATGGAGATTTGGATACGGAGACACACAGACTCACAGGAAGAAGGCCATGAAGACAGAGGCAGAGACCGAAGATATGTAGCTGCAAACCAAAGAACTTTAAGGTTTGCTGACAACCGTAAGAAATTAGGAGAGAGGCACGAAATGAATTTTTTCTTAGAGCCTTCAGAAGGAACCTACACTGCTGACACCTTGATTTTCTTTTTCTTTTCTTTTCTTTTATAGAGGGGGGGTCTTGCTATTTTGCCCAGGCTGGTCTCAAACTCCTGGGCTCAAGTGATTCTCCCACTTCTCTCTTTCAAAGTGCTGGGATTACAGGTGTGAGCCACCACGCCTGGCCAACATCTTGATTTCAAACTTCTAGCCTCCAGAACTGTGAGATGATAAATTTCAGTTGTTTTAAGGAACCCATCCTGTGGCAATTTGTTACAGTAGTCCTAGGAAATTTGTGCTCCACTTACAAAGAATCTGGTCTTTAAGTGAGAAAGATGTGGTATTTAGGGTCTTACTTTGTGCAAGGCACTGTTAGACATTGGTGATTCAAAGAAGGTGCAAGGAGCTTATAAATTACTGAAAGCGAAAGACATGTAATTACATATATTTGAATTCAACTGTGGAAAAAGCATTTTTGTCTTTTAGAATCCCCAACCCCAAAAAAGAATATAAAACATTGTGTTATGCATTACTACTTCTTATTCTTCCTCTAATAGTCAAATAATCCACTTCAATTCAATAATTGTCTATTGCCTAACTATAATCTTTTGAGACATTAAGTATATTACTGATATACAAACTATGATACAGGAAACATCCTATTTGTTTATCCTCAGTATTAAGGGAAAATTATTGATGTGTTTATTAACACTTTTATGATTTAGAATGTTGCTACAAGCTAAAAAGTATGTAACGGTTGATAATTTTTGGAAATCAATTCATATCAGGAAAACAAGGGCAAATAAAAAACAATTATTCATGATGCAGGTTGGTTTTTGAGGCCAAACAAAACAGTTGTTTTGTGTTTGAGATGGGATGTTCAACTTAGAATACCTCTGTCTTAGTCTGTTCAGGCTGTCTTAACAAAACACCATAAGCTGGGTTGCTCATTCACAACAAAAATTTATTTCTCACTGTTCTAGAGGCTGGGAAGTTCAAGATCCAGGCCTCAGAAGATTTGGAGTTTGGTGAGGGCCATCTTCTCACTGTAGCCTTACATGGTGGAAGAGGTAAGGCAGCTCTCTGGAACCTTTTATAAGGGCACTAATCCAGTTCATGAGGACTCAGCCCTTATGACCTCATCACCTCCGAAATTCTCTATCTCCTAACACCATCACTTTGACAGTCAGATTTCAACATATGAATTTGTGGGAGTCACCAGCATTGAGATGATAGCAACCCCTTATTAGAAATCATTCATGAGGAACTGAAACTGTCAGGAAACCTCTGTGTAAATGCTGGGAAACAAACAAATAATGCTGATAATTACCTGACTGCTTTTGGAATTGTCCCTTTTTGTGGCATCTGCTGAATGTGAGACTAGATCATTGTCAGCTGATTGCAGAAGAACCACTATGATATTATAATGGGGTCCTGACTCCATGACTGTGTAATGCATGGCTTTCTAAGTGTTTATTACTGACCTAACTTTGCAGCTCCCCTAGATCCCCTAACTCCACCATCTTGGGTTGCAACCAATGACGTGTTATTGCAAAACAGGTAATCTCACTCAGGTAAGTATTAATCAGAGGGGCTGCATTTCCAGAGTTCATTTCAATGGTTTTCAACTCATTTCTAGAGTTTAATATCAATAGCCCTTTCTCTTCTATAGGAGGGAGCCGAACCATCCTGTTTATTCAATAATCAGTGAGAGCGTGGCTTTAACGTCTCTTCCACTCCTTTCCAGCTCAGGTCTTTGTTAACTTGATGGAGATAGCTTGGGCCAGGGAGGGCAGAGTGAAGATGAGAAAGCAAAAAAAGTGTGTGAACAGTTTTGACCAGCAGCATTGACTCTGTGCTAAATACTGTGCTCAGCTCTTTGGATGTTATTTTTGTTGAATTGGAAAGAACACTGTAAAGTTTTCTTGTGAGGCACACTTTCCTACTGAAGAAATAAAAGCATTAAATAACTTGCCCCCAAATACATAGCTATTAGAATTGAAACAAAGACTTCAGCCCAGATCTGTCTAATTTCAAGGTCCTTGGTTTTTTCTACTACATTTCTCTTTGAGATACAGTTACTCAAAGGTGCCCAAACCTCTGCCTCCCTCTGGTCCTGGTGCCTTTCCCATGTTCCTGAGAAGATCATGTGGCACACTTCTCTAAATGTCTCTGTGCCATATCTCTTGGGATCAAAAGGCCATTCCAATTACTCTTGTGTATTTCTTAATGTATGTTCAGATGGCCCTGGTTTGCATTTAGAGAAATGAAGCTAAGATCTTGGTGGTAACTACATATATATTTTGGTGATAACTACATATATATACTCACACACATATATATGTGTGCGTATATATATATATATATATATTTGATTATGTGCTTGTATTTAATTAAGTGGGTGCCTACTGTTGTGAAAATACTTTTGAATACAATTCTGAAGTTGTGCGAGGGAACTCGGACAATAGGTATGCTGGGAGCTGTCTGATTTCCTTGTCCTAGGTTCTTACTCAACTTTTCTAGACAACTCATACAATGCAGTAGAAAAAGAATTCTTTATTCCCACTGCCTTTCTTTAGCTCTTCTTCAGAGCAGGGGAAGTGTGACTATGGCTTTAGATAGTTTAAATAGTCCTTCAAAGGTGGCAAATAAACAGTATCAATGAACAGAAGATAAAATGAGTGACACCCATTTGAGTTTCAGTTTTATCATTCAGTTTCATGGAACTCCAAAGAATGATGTGATTAAGTGGTTTGTTTTTGCAAGGATTTTCCAGGTGAAAGATCTGAGCTATATATTGAGGAATCATAGGATTAAAATAGAGATGGGTTTGCTTCTACGACAGCATTTTGCAAAATAATGTGGCCGGGTACCATTGCTCATGCCTGTAATCCCAGCACCGTGGTCGAGGCAGATGGATCACTTGAGGCCAAGAATTCAAGACCAGCCTGGCTAACCTGGTAAAACCTCATCTCTACTAAAAATACAAAACTTAGCCGGGCCTGGTGGCACGCACCTGTAATCTCAGCTACTCAGGAGGCTGAGGCACGAGAATCACTTGAGCCCAGGAGGCAGAGGTTGCAGTGAGCCAAGATTGCACCATTGCACTCCAGCCTGGGTGACAGAGTGAGACCCTGCCTCAAAACAAACAAACAAAGCAAACAAAAAAACACACACAAAAAAACCACCTATGACCATAAAAAACAGTTTTTTTTTTTTATTCTCTGTCCCACTGATCGATCCACCGCCACCCCTCCGGACCCTCCTGCCCCCCATAGGACTACAGCCCCCACTAGTTTTTTATTTTTTAGAGACCATCTGTACCATCTCCTCCTCTGATCGCCCTCGCCCCATGGGATTAGTGACACCGAACAACAGTTTTAATGAGACTATATATGCTTGTACTTTAAAATGGAGCTAATTCATAGATACAGAAAACTATACTTATGACAGTTTATATAAATGAGCCACTAGACTGTCCAAATTTACCTCTTTTTATTGCATGGGCCTAGTGAGTGCAGTGGCGCGATCTTGGCTCACTGCACCCTCTGCCTCCCATGTTCAAGCGATTCTCCTGCCTCAACCTCCTGAGTAGCTGGGATAACAGGCACCAGCCACCACACCTGGCTAATTTTTGTATTTTTAGTAGAGAGAGGGTTTCACCATGTTGGCCAGGCTGGTCTCAAACTGTAGACCTCAAATGATCTGCCTGCCTTGGCCTCCCAAAGTGCTGGGATTACAGGCATGAGCCACCATGCCCAGCCAGGAGAAGTATATATATATATATATATATATATATATATATATATATATATTTTTTTTTTTTTTTTTTTTTTTTTTGAGACAGAATTTCACTCTTGTTGCCCAGGCTGGAGTACAATAGTGCAATCTTGGCTCACTGCAACCTCCGCCTCCTGGGTTCAAGCGATTCTCCTGCCTCAGCCTCCTGAGTAGCTGGGATTACAGGCATGCGCCACCACGTCCGGCTAATTTTGTATTTTTTAGTAGAGGCAGGGTTTCTCCATTTTGGTCAGGCTAGTCTCAAACTCCTGACCTCAGGTGATCTGCCCACCTCAGCCTCCCAAAGTGCTGGGATTACAGAGATGAGCCACCACACGTGGCCTAGGAGGAGTATATTCTAATTAACAGAGTCACTTAGGGAGAGCTGTCAAAAATAAAGATTGTCCCATACATTCTGATTCAATGGGAATGAATTGAGATCCAAATATGTGTATGTGTGTGTGTGTTTGTTTTTAACTCTCCAGTTGATTTTTGGAGAATGCTAAAAGATTTGGGCTACCTTTCTAAGCATGATTTAGGAAAATCTCATCCATTTTCAATATTTGGATCCAATGGATTGGGAAGGATTATAAACATTAGAAGAGTTTCAAAGACTGATTCTCAGGCATCCCTCCAGCAACAGCAAACTAGGGTACAAGTTCAGGGAGAAAGTATACAGCAAAAGAGGGAACACTTAGTAATAAACAAGTGCTGTTGTCCTGAACAGACTCAGACTAAATTTGAACTTCTCTATTATTTTAGCCTTGGAAATAGTAGGTTATAGATGGTTTAGTTTCTCGCCATTACTCAGAACAGTACCTTGATGAATCAGCTAGGACTATAAGAAAATATCTGGACTTACATGATTGAGACAATTACTATGTAAGATGACACACTTGAAATTCGTATTTCTTGGCTTACGAACACATGTTATTGTGTAAAGCATGATATCTTAAGACCCTGATCTGAGTTTGAGAGGAGTGGGAGAGAAATATCAGGAAAAAGCAAACTAAATAGCAAGGCAAGGTTATTTTTAAAAGGACCAACCAGAGGACTACATTTGTGACCCACCAATTCATTTTCTCCATCAGTTCATGGAACTATCGTTGTTGCCTCTAATAAGAGGCATTTGTTTTCTCCATCAGTTCATGGAACCATTGTTGTTGACTCTAAAAAGAAGAGAAAAGGTATTTCATTTTTTTCTGATGTTGTCTTAGAGAAGCAAAGCAGATTTGATATTCTTGGCTTGTGTAACATGTATTTCTCTCTTAAGGTGCTCAAGTATCTCCACAGGAAGGCCATTTAGATGGTGGGTCTTTGAGTCATGGATCTCTTTAAAAATTCTACCAAGAAACAGACACCAAATTTTGCATGCAATTTCAGGGACTTATGGACCCCAGCTTGACCTGTCAGCCTCGCAAGGAAACTAGTGGTGGAATTTCATTTCCATTCTACCAAATGAATTTCAGTTGATTAAAAAGTGACCAATTGTTACACTCCATAGATCAGAATCTAGCCTCTTATACATCTGTGAATATAACCTTTTGCAGAGGTAATTAGTCATGTTGAAACTAATTTTTTTGTTTGTTTGTTTTGAGATGGAGTCTCTCTCTCTCTCGCCCAAGCTGGAGTGCAGTGACTCCATCTCGGCTCACTGCAAGCTCCGCCTCCCAGGTTCACACCATTCTTCTGCCTCAGCCTCCCTCTGAGTAGCTAGGAGCTACAGGTGCCAGCCACCACACCCAGCTAATTTTTTGTATTTTTTTTTAGTAGAGATGGGGGTTTCACCATGTTAGCCAGGATGGCCTCGATCTCCTGACCTCGTGATCCATCCGCCTTGGCCTCCCAAAGTGCTGGGATTACAGGTGTGAGCCACCGTGCCCGGCCCTGAAACCAATTTTAAAACACTGAATCTCTATTAAGCCCTCACAATGTGCTTACCATGACTAAATGTGTGTGTATATATATATATATATATATATATATAATTTTAATTCTTAAAGTCTGCATAGATGAATGCAATAAGATACTCAAGAGTAACTTACTTTCCCAGAGTCACAGTTTTTGAGTCACAAACTTCAAAGCCAGTATCTAACCACCATCTACTCCTTTACTTTCCCACCCTAGAAGGAAAATTTTACTCTCCACCTACGATGGTTACAAATTTTGTAAGGTGTGTTTTCCCTGGTAGAAGAGGCTTCAAGTAATGATCTATACCTAATAATATCCAACATTAATTTTGAAATTCTGACCACTGATCTTCATGAAATTCCAATGGAATTTACTTCTTCAGTTCTAAAATTAACACGACCAATTTAGTAATTCAGAAGATTATTTTTGTCCATTGGACTAGCTTATGATCTCCTTGAAAGCTGAAACCATGAATGCCTCACTTATCCTTCTCACATGTGGCATGCCTAGGCCTTAGGAAGATGCCCAGTGTCAAATACAGGAACCTATTTGTTCATCTCAGTTCTCAATGGCTTCCCAGAAGATACTGTAGCTTCCCACAGATGTAAACCAGGAGAATCCTCTTGTAACAGCTTTAACAGGCCTGTTTCATTTTATTTCTACTAAGTAGCATACATCTAATTCATTTTAAAATCCAGCTCTTGATCTTTAGCTTTAAAAATGTGTACCACTTGCTGGGCGCGGTGGCTCACGCCTGTAATCCCAGCACTTTGGGAGGCTAAGGTGGCCAGATCACAAGGTCAGGAGATCCAGACCATCCTGGCGAACATGGTGAAACCCTGTTTCTACTAAAAAATACAAAAAATTAGCCGGGCATGGTGGCGGGCGCCTGTAGTCCCAGCTACTCGAGAGGCTGAGGCAGAATGGTGTGAACCCAGGAGGCAAAGGTTGCAGTGAGCCGAGATCGCGCCACTGCGCTCCAGCCTGGGCGACAGAGCCAGACTTTGTCTCAAAAAAAAATATATATATATATGTACCACTGGCTGGGCACGGTGGCTCATGCCTGTAATCCCAGCACTTTGGGAGGCAGAGGCGGGTGGATCACCAGAGGTCGGGAGTTCAAAACCAGCCTAACCAACATGGAGAAATCCCGTGTCTACTAAAAATACAAAATTAGCCAGATGTGGTGGTGCATGCCTGTAGTTCCAGCTACTCGGAGGCTGAGGCAGGAGAATTGCTTGAACCTGGGAGGCGGAGGTTGCGGTGAGCTGAGATTGTGCCATTGCACTCCAGCCTTGGCAACAACAGTGAAACTCTGTCTCAAAAAAAAAAAAAAAAAAAAAACAAACCCAATGTGTACCACTGGCCGGGCATGGTGGCTCATGCCTGTAATCGCAGAGGCAGGTGGATCAGATGAGGTCAGGAGTTCAAGACCAGCCTGGCCAACATGGGGAAACCCCGTCTCTACTAAAAATACAAAAATTAGTGGGGCATCATGGTGCATGCGTGTAATCCCCGCTACTTGGGAGGCTAAGGCAGGAGAATCACTTAAACTCTGGAAGCAGAGGTTGCAGTGAGCCGAGATCATGCCATTGTACTCCAGCCTGGGTGACAGAGTGAGAAAAGAAAAGAAAAGAAAAGAGGCGAGGAGAGGGGAGGGGAGGGGAGGGGAGAAAAGAAAGTGTACCGCTGAAAAACGACCTTTAAAGTTTGAAATGCTATTATTCAGTACCAAGTATTATGTTCAAACCAATATGGGCTTCTGTATAAGGGACTGCACATCATTGGGCAGATTTGATTAGCTGTGACAATTGTCTAGAGTCCTTAAAGATGACTTTAAGCACAGTCTAGGAGTGTGCTATGTGACAGTTTGGATATTTGTCCCCGCCCAAATCTCATGTTGAACTGTAATCCCCAGTGCTAGAGGTGGGGCCTGGTGGGAGGTGAATGGATCATGGGGGTGATTTCTTATGGTTTAACACCATATCCCCTTGCTGCTGTCATTGTGATAATGAGTTGTTGTGAGATCTGGTCATTTAAAAGTGTGTGGCACCTCAACCTTCTCTCTCTTCCTTCTGCCCCCACTTTGCCTTGAGTAAAAGCTCCGAGGCTTCCCCAGAAGCAGACGCTGCCATGCTTCCTGTATAGCCTGCAGAACTGCGAGCCAATTAAACCTCTTTTCTTTATAAATTACTTGACCTCAGGTATTTCTTTACAGCAACACAAGAAAGGCATAATACACTACATAGTAATAGCCACATACGAGTAGTGAGCATTTGAAATGTGGCTACTTTTAATTGAGATATGCTCTAAGAAACTGAAGATAGTACATATAGCACATTTTAAAATGCGGCTATTAGAAATTTTAAAATTACATGTTGGCCTACATTAAATTCTATTGGAGGCCGGGCGCAGTGGCTCACGCCTGTAATCCCAGCACTTTGGGAGGCCTAGGCAGGCAGATCACTTGAGGTCAGGAGTTTGAAACCAGCCTGGCCAACATGGAGAAACTCTGTCTCTACTAAAAATACAAATTAGCGAGGTGTGGTGGGGCATGCCTGTAATCCCAGCTTCTTTGGAGGCTGAGGCAGGAGAATTGCTTGAACCCAGGAGGTGGAGGTTGCGGTGAGTCGAGATCATGCCATTGCACTACAGCCTGGGCAACAAAGGTGAAACTCCATCTCAAAAACAAAAACAAACAAACAAAAAAATTATATTGAAAGGCACTGGTAGGGAATTTAAAGCACAGCTGTTGGCACAAGAACCATTGGTAGACAGCATTCTAAATAAGTAATTAAGGCCAGGTGCGGTGGCTCACATCTGAAATCCCAGCACTTTGGGAGGCAGAGGCGGGTGGATCAACAGAGGTCAGGAGTTTGAGACTAGCCTGGCCAACATAGTGAAACCCCATCTCTGCTGAAAATAGAAAAATTAGCTGGGCACGGTGGTCCATGCCTGTAATCCCAGCTACTCAGGAGGCTGAGGCAGGAGAATCACTTGAACCCAGGAGGTGGAGGTTGCAGTGACCCGAGATTGTGCCACTGCACTCCAGCCTAGGTGGCAGAGTGAGACTGTCTCTAAATAAATAAATAAAGTAATTAAACGTTTTCTATTTTTGGTAAACTACTGATTTTATAGAGTATTTAATCATTTTCAATATGATAGGTTCTCAGCTTATCAGTTTGTAGATCAAATAAGCAATTTTCCTAGATTCCCTTTTGATTCCTAAAATAGGAATCTTTGAAAAATACCTCCCCAGTCCAGAAAAATTGTCAAAAACTCCTCTAGTTTGGACAAAAGGTAGAGTTTGAGATGTCTCAGTCAGCATTTAGTCAGATATGAGAGCATTCATGATGTTTCTGGCCTAGAGAATGGGAGACTTTCTGATCACTCTGCATATGTTCATAGAAAGACTATATTTTGTGATTGTTTTATAAAACAAACCACATACGTATACCTGGATCACTTCAAAGCCAAACAGAAACGACTATGTATTATCAACTCCTTAGAGAATTTAAAACAGCAATTATTAAAAAGCACAAATAAAATAAACTGCTGGATTGGAGTGCTATTCCTTTCACATGCTTTCAGTGTTTCCTAGGAGCAAATTCACATCATTTCTAGGTTTTGTTAAACACATTTTAATTTTGTTAAACCTAAACCAGATCTTGTTTAATTTTATTAGGCTGTTCTTGGCAGGTGTTATATAAAATGAAGTAAATTGTGTTTAAGAACCACAGAGTAAAAAATAAAATCATGACCTTAAGATGGAAAATTTTGGATTTATACTACTCTTGTTAAACCCATCAACCTGAAAAGTTTCACCAAAATAGGAGAATTAGTCACCGTGGAAGATAGATCCCTGTAAGCAGATCAAATAAAGGTAAACCTATTCTGTTAATCTTCTCTCCTTTTACTTCACACCTTCGCACCCTGAATCTTCACTAATGTAATCCTTTTAGTATTTTTTACTAGGTGTTTTTTTTTCACCTAGTATTTTTTACCAGTGTAATCATCTTCTTTGTAGAGTCACATAATGGTTACATGTTTTTTCCTGAATGGACACCAGTTATAAGTGGGATGCTTGCTGTTACCATGGGTCCCAACTTATCAAGTAAAAACTGCTATCCTTTAATCCACTTTAAAAGCCTGTCTTTCATTCAAAGACTCAAATAAAAGTGCCTATCACTCCAACGCTAAAGGACCATGCCTGAATATGAATGCGTCACATTTTGATGGCTATAGATTGCATCCACTTCTAATAAGTATCATCACTTTATTTATCAAACCTCTGAAGTCTCAAGTTATTTGTCATCTGATATAATCTAGCCACTGATAAAACTGGTTATGCTACCCCAGATATGCAAAGCAATCTAATTTTCACGCCAACCAAATAAGCCACAGCATAACTAAAAACAAAACTTGTTTATGCATAGACAATTTTAGCAGGCATTTTTAAATATAACACAGATGCTAAAGGTTAATGGCTTGGATGGCAGATTATTCTTAAGTATTACAACTTTTGACTGTAGAGTTACTTTTACAATATCAATTAGTGTAAAACTTAACATTAGAAGCCAAATAATTTTAGTATGTGGATATTATTTATAAGGCCTACTATGGGATAAATCTCTGGGAGGGGTTCCTCAGGAAAAATGACCCTACTAAGGAAGAACTTTTCTCATTAGGGTGGACATGAAACCACAACACCAAGATGTGTAAGAGTTTT